GAAAGGGCAGCATGAGCGTCTCCAGAGTCGGCACTCACTGAGGAGGTAGAGCAGGTACACGCTGACCAGGAGCAGCGCCTCGTACCACTCGACCCGCCCGTCGCGCAGCGTGAGGATCAGGAGCACCACGGTGACGCCGTACGCCACGCAGTCCCTCGTCACCGGCCACCAGTCCAGGGCCACCGCCTGCGGGCACACCAAGGGGGAGGAGAGTCTTCAGGCATGCTCGCTCACCCCCGCCTCTCTCCGGCCAGCCCAGACCAGCCCGAGCGCTTACCGTCCCCGCGAACAGGCCGCAGCACGCCGGCACGGCCAGGATGTTGAAGACCGCGCTGCCCACCACGGCCCCCACGCCGATGTCGCCCTCCGTCACGAAGGTGCCCACCAGGTTGATGAACAGTTCCGGCGAGGAGGTGGCCGCGGCCATGAAGGTGGCGCCGGCGACATCCTCGGTCATGCGTAGGTCTGCGGGAGAGAAGTCAGTCAGGGCGCGGGCTGCGCGGGCACACCTGCTCAAGGAGAACCCGACCGGACCCACGACCCCTCGGCCCGCCTCGCGCTGGCCGAGCCATTCGGTTATTCCCCGGCGGGTATCCTCGCCGGGTAATCTCCAAGCTGCTCGGCCAAGCCCGACTCCGATACGTAATCATGCGCATACGCTGCACTTGGACGCCGGACGCGGGCTGGGCTGGGCGCGGTCACACTAGGTGGTGGCGAGGCGCGCCTACACCGAGCCGGCCCGGTCGGTAGCGCAGCGCTAGCGCACCCGCGGTGGAGGCCCGGCCCGAGAGGCGCAGCGGCGCAGCGCGCAGCCAGGGCGGAGCTGGGGGAGCGCCTGGCAACTGCGGGGTAGGCCGCCCCAACGCACCGGTGCGTCGGTTGCATACGCTCCAGGGGCCCTTGCCGTGGGGGGCGCTCGTCGAGGTCTATCGAAGTACCTCTTCGCGCACCTTTTCGGATTTTTAAAGAGCAGATGATACTTCTGTTCTCTACACACTGAACACGTGACACATTTTTAATGTGACAATATATCTTGAAAGTTTTGAGGCACTGCGTTCTCGCAAGCATCTGCCTGCGTTCCGCGCTCGCCCTTTTCTTACAAGATTTATCGCTTTGTCCCTCCTTCAAAAAAAATTAAAAATATCTCACTTGCTATGCCAAAACAGAGAACGCACCACAATTCGTCGATTTGGAGAAACCGGTTTTAAAATCGCGCGTCACTGTCTATTTGCGAGATGATTTTCGGTAATAAAACAAACTGAGTAACATTCTCCAATGGGAATAGCCGCTTGGCGTACTGAACAGTATACACGATAAGAGTGGATGCTTGGATTTAAAGCAGTTATTTCGCGTTCCAAGTAGAAGTGGGATTAATATCAGGGAACCTGAATCAAAAGGCTCGGACAAGGGTCAGACCAGTCAAACTGATCTCATTTGACATCATACCATCTGGATTTCATTATTTGTGAAGTTACAAGGAGGTTCAAGTAACGTCAAATTGACATCAAGATGTCATCAAAGGACTTCTTTGCTGTACATGGGCATTATTTTGACCCTTTTCTGTTCCCCGGGACGCCAGCTCCGAGGCTAGCGCGCAGTCGCTCGGCCGCGCACGATGGGCTGCCTACCGCCCGGCGCGCAGCCGCGCCAGCGAGCCGCCTCCAGCCAAGCAGCATGGCAATGCTCGGGGAAACTCGACGTGATTCGGGAAACTTGCAAGCGGTCAAGATTTCCAGAAAAGGGTCCGGCAAACGTGGGCCACATTTAATTTGTTTTGAATCTGACTGAAAACCCTTAGACCCACTGGAAAAACTTACCGAGGTAACGTTTCTTGACGCGACCACACCAGGTAACGTTTGGTGATGCAACCAGTTTGTGATGGCCCTATCCCTTTGCATGGGGTAGGTCACATCAGGAAACGTTATCGATCTTGGTCACATGATGAAACGTTACCATGGTAACATTAGTTTTTCCAGTGCCGATACATGGGACAGGGAACGCCCCGATAACAACTTGGCTTATAGCACACGGGGGAGCTGCGCTGCGCGGCTGTACTCACTTGCACATAGCTTCTTGATGCTGGGCACGAAGTACTCGTCGCAGACCACGGCGAACAGCACGAAGAGGTAGCACGCCAGCAGCCCGTGCAGCACGGCGGCGCCGGCCTGGCGCTGCTCCCGCGTGAAGAGGTCCGGCGGGAACTCGAGGATGGCGGGCGGCGTGCACTCGTCGCCCTCAGCCCATAGCAGGTGCCTCGCGGGGCTCCCCGCGCTCCGCGCACCTGCAACCGCACCAAGGCTCAGCGTGGCGAAACTAAACATTCAGAGGAATGCGATGTCGTCGGTACCCGAGGAGGACAGGGTAGTCACTACAAAGTCATTTTGGAGGTCATTGACGCGGTCCCAAATGACACCCCTCGCCCCAAAACAGTCACCATTTTAGATGTACCCGCGATGTGTTTGTGACTTCCCGGTGTGCTCCTTTGGTATCAAGCTTTTTGTGGCTTGCTGCCAACCAAGATTAGGTTCCATTTGTTCATTATTAATATTGGAAACAATATTCGGCTCGGGTTGGTGCGGGTTGCGCGGGGGTGGGGCACTCGCACACTTGGCCTCCACGCCTCGGGTCGACACTTAGGCCCCCCGTGGCTGGTCATTCGCCCAAATCACCCTAATCAATTTATTGCTTCGGTCTTTATCTGGTCAGGCGCATCCCAGTAGTGACTCACGCCCCCCCCCCCTCCCCGCCGCGGGTGACTCTCACCGCCCGGGTAAAAATCTTCAGAGACTATTCGCGTTTATCTCGCGTTATCCTTCCCCTGAAAAAACACAAGATGCACAAGATAATAACTCCAAATGTTCCCCTTTAAAGTAGCATTCAGCATGGCTAAAGAACGCGAAGTGAACACCGGGGCCACAGCGGATAGACGGCGCCTCCAGCCTCCACCGCGGTCGATTG